GTGGCGGCGGCGGCGCGGCTGCCAAGGTATTTAAGGTACCGTGAACCGGCGGCGCACGAGTAGTTCACTTCTGTTCGGTGTGGTGTTGCGGTGATTTTGAGGGACCAGCTAAAGAGGACGAGAGAGAGAGAGAGAGAGAGAGAGAGAGAGAGAGGGAGAGAGAGAAAGAGAGAAAGACACAGCGCGAGCAAGAGAAAGGGGGGTGAGAGAGAGACGAGAGAGTAAGCTCTTACGCTCGTACACGCTCGAGGGTGCGAGATAAGAGCTCGGGTTCCCTTTAAAAGACAATCGTCGCATCGCGGCTCCGGAGCGAGCAAGTAGTTTGCCGTAAACTTGCGGTAGATTCGCGTCCGACACGGTGCGAGATAACTAACTAAATCGACCGTGCATCGAGAGGGGATCACGTCGCCGCATCGAGCCGTCAGGGTCGTCCGCCGTCGACGACCGTGCTGGATAGGTAAGTGATCACGAAGAGTACTTAGTGCCGGTCTTCTACTCGGCCGGTCGCTGAGGGTGGATAAGTGATGAAGCGGCTTGGTCGCGCCTCCTTCAATTGACACCAAGTGATCAAGATCAGTGACTCGATTGCACGCGGCTGTGACGGGCCGCAATACCGACACGAGATCGTCGTGATCGTCGCCGACGTTGTCATCGCCGTGGATTTTACGGACTGTGATGATGTGCACCCACCAAGAGAATGTCCCGATCCTCAAGTGATTTCGAGAGGGAAAGGTGGGATTTAAAGATTTGTACGAAAATTCGGACGTTCCGTTTCGAGAGGGATATCCAGCAGTGAAGTAATTCTCTCTCGCACGGGGAATCTCACTTCGTGTCGCCGGTGATAAGAATCGAATAGATAATATAAGAATTCGTTTATCATGCGCGATTGATTTGTCATAGAAAACGCACGAATTTACGAGGATTGAGAAGCATCGCGCACTTTTTGACAGCGAAGTTTTAGATATTTACAGAATGTCATTTTTACTTAAAAAAAATATTTTCATTACTCTTGATGCAAATGTGGAATCGTAAAATTGCAATCAATTTTTTTTTAAATATTTCACGGTCGTTTCGTTTATATATAATCAGTGAGGAACGATCGACCACTTTTCTTAATAATTCGTGTAAATGGATTGTCGCGTATCGGCTCTCGGTTGAATAAGCAAAGATTAAGGAACACACAATCGCCGGAATAGTTTATAAAGTCGTGTGAAAACGAAACGAGAGTCAGGCCAAAAGGAGCGGGACGGTTCTGCCTAAATAATTGAAAGCGTTGTACAATAGATATGCATGTCTACTTGCAACCGGCGGAAGGTAGTCAGACGTGCACGAACGCTTGGTGCAATTAAGAGAAACAATATTTAAATACCAAGCCAAACAGCGGTGCTTGAATACCAAAGGCGGTTTTCAATCGACAGAATCTTGGGTGTCCGCGATGTCCGGAGGCTCGAGTACGGGATAGTCGCGAAACAGCGCGATGACAAACTCACAATCACGGACGTTAATACGTGCCCACACACGCAATCCGAGTAAATTATATTTCGTACAAAGTTTCATTGATCGGGACCGATCTCAAGGTTTCTGATAAAAATGTACAAAACCGCGCGGTAAAGTTTCGAGCCGAAAGATTCGACATTTTCTCGACACGCTGATCGAACTCCTCGCAGTGCGGCTCTGTGTCGGATCGAAAGTATATCGATTTTTTTTTAAACGACAACTATTCGAGGAGAATTTAAAACAGGCCGCGCGGTCCTACATAATGAGACACAGAAATGGGGATCGGAATAATGGCCCCGTGCGAGAGAGCGACACGGGAGCAGAGACGAAAAATGCAAACTAGAGGAAACCACGGGGGACCTCACCTTCCCCTCTTTGTATCCGTCGGAACGGGCTGCTCCGTTCCTTCCGACGATGACGGAGAGAGACACGCGTGAATAAACGGGACATTCCTGCGGTGGATCGAATTCTCCTCTCAATCTCGTGGAAACCATGGCGGCGACGACGACGACGATCACGGCGACGACAACCATCGGAAATGCTGCATGACGCGGCGCCTCGCGTTCTCGAGCACGTGCAACCGCTGTTGCTGTTACGTTCGCGGTCGATTGTTGCTATTTTCCTGACGGTGCGCCGCGGATCTCGTCGTTCGCGAGGCAATCTTGGCTCCGCGCAAAAACGAACGGTCGGGCAAATCCGTCACGGTCGACGTGCGTCCGATAGCTCGCCTATCGCGTAACGATCAACGGGCGTGATATATTAAATCGCCTTTCAACGGAAACGCGAGGTTTCCGATGAACAGTTAACTCTGCATATCGACCGTAATAACGCTGCGATCTTCGCAGCCGCGTGCGATGTTGCGTTCTAATACACAATAGTTAGGAGGCTTACTTATCCGCGTCGCTACCGTAACGTTCAACGTTGAAAGACATGTTTCCCTCACGATTTTCAGCCTCGCTCTTCACTTCTTAATATCTCATTTCTTCATGTACGACTAAATACCAACTGGAAGTACGTGTCGCGTTGTCTACGGCGCCGGCGTATGGAATTTCGCGAAAGGCTTTCTCCACGCTGCCCACGTTCGACGCTGCATTCAAGTCACTGAGCCGTCTAACTTAATCAATTCCTAAAAATAATTACTAAGGCCGGTATTCATAGTCCGTTCTTATATTTAATATCATCTTAAGTATACTCTTAATGTGTTTTCAACCAATCACAGAGCCGTATTAGCGTCTTAAGACAACACTTAAGATGATACTGAAATAAGAATCGACTATGAATACCGGCCTAAGTTGCCGAAAGAGTCAACGCCCAAGAGAGTTAGGACTGTAAGAAAAAGTGGATTCCGCAGAATCCACGCACGTGGAGAAATACCGGGAATACGCTGACAAAGTACTCATTATTGAACGTTAATTAGCAAGATCAACCTGTGTCTACAGCGATGCTCCCGCGCTTGTTAGGTAGAACGACGAAAATGACACGTGGTAATGGAGTGTAAATAAGAATCGTGTCTCGCGGCAGGCCTGCGATCTACGAAGGGCAATAACCGGAGAGAGAATCCGAAGTTTGTTGGTCCGCGGATAGAGCGTTCACAAGTCGCTGAATGATTATTTTGCGATCAGCCGGCACCGCTGTGCCGCGCAACTTCTCGATAGGACACTCGCTATTTCCTTCCCGCAACAGTACTGTTATCCACATACCCAATGCTTTGACTAGGATTTTGCCGGTGCAAACTTTTTTTTATATACATTTTCTCAATTCCAACACTAACGTCCGATTATTTGCAATTTATTCCGAGCGTCATTTTTTCGTCCGACGAGTCTCTCTTTTGGCTTTCCTCGCTTTTCATCCGCATTATATATTTATTCGTAAACAAAATCACCTTGCAAATCAAATAATAATTTGCGAAATGCATTTTGCAGTTTACGAAACGAATTACTGGTTGACGATTTTTTCGTCGGATTGGTATGAATAGAAGATCGTCAAATATCGAGTTTCCATAGAATGATTAAAAATGTCCCGTGAAATGTCGTACGTGTCTTCGTCAGGCCCGCTTTAGATTCTCGCTTGACCGAAAGCTTGAATCGCACGGATATTCATGAAACGGTAAAAACGAGAGAGGCGAACGGTATGTGTCGAAGCAACGTATTCGTCATGAGCACACGCTACAATAAGTTTCAAAAGGACAAGGCGCGTGTCGGATCGTCGCCGTCGTCGGACTTTGAATGACGGACGCTTCACGTGACTCTCAAAGCGATCGATCGCTGAGCGTATTGAGCCGATAATCTTCCCGATTAAACAGTGTTGCGGATAAAAAAAAGAGCGCAACAGCGGGAGACGCTTGGACGGCCGTCGGCCTCCAGTTATAAAAGAACAGCGCGTTACAAACAACGTGTATAAAAATAGTAGTACAT